TTATTGTTGAAGTATTATTTTCAAATATCTGTCGGTAATATCATTCAAAGACCAGCCAGTTCTATCGCATGACAATATGAATTTAGTAAACTTCAGTTGTCTTTAATCAGAAATGCCCAATCATGAGCTATTTTAATAATGGCTATTTTAATCTTGGACCGAACTCGTTGCACGGCGAGCATGTTTCGAGATCTAATCGGTACGCATCATGTATGGTATGCATGCTAATAACTTGCTCCTAGGTCAATAAATAGTCTACCTGTCTGAGCCAATTTTAATTCTGGTCACACGCGTGTCGTCTCTACCACGTGATTGGGATATATGTGACAATATTCTTGGAAGTCCACAAGGTGGGCGTTTGTGTATAAATAACTTTTGCTTTTTTACCAAAGCAAGAAATATCGAATAAATTACGCGAAAAGAATTGCCAATAAATTTGTGAAAACGACTCACTCAGTGAATCACTCGCAGCTCAGTACCCTCCAGTATTACTAACAGCTCAAATATAATACCTTCTTATGTATGTACTTGAAACTGTGACCTGTCCTTCTTCTGTCCGGGTTCTAACTGTAAAATGGGTGACAAAGCAAACAGAAAAAAATGAACCCGTCAACTATATTATTAGGACGACGAGCCTACACACAAAGGCAATCCCCATATCAGCAGTTCGCGTGTTGTTTCATTATGCATTCACAACATTGCTGGACTTTAGCAATTCACAAAACGTAACTGACGGTGAAGTAAAACCATGTTATCTCAAGCGTATTGGCAAATATAGTCGATGTTTAAGTGTGCAGTTAACGTTTTGATCGATTTTGCATCTCAATTGTGTTTCAGCGCTGAGGAGCGCGGGCAATTTAGAAGGTACAGACTGACTGACTGACGTTTCCGTTCGGCGTCTGGCGCTGCTCACACAACCTCAAACAGCGGGAGACTGATGGGAAATCAAGCCCCCCTTCCCTCCGCCAGCCCTACTCTAAAAACTGCTAAGAAACTTTTAATTCTCTTAAACAGTCCATTAAAATTTGTAAACTGACCCCTGAAAATCATACGAAGTAAAATCACGTGAACTAGAATCGAAATGCATTCCTTTTCAGTATAACCAAGGAGCGCCGGAGCATATCTCATGATCAGTTAACAAGTCGTATGTTCTTTTTTTGACATAACTTAACATTACCAGTACATTTACAGGAGTGCCTACCTTATTGAGCCACAATTCACGGCAGGTTTGACCCTCCCTTTCGATTCGGCTATTGAAGGTATCTTCCTTCGGGTAGCATGTGAAATAGAACAGAATTCTGCGTCAGCAGCTAGCTACGCTTTCACGCGGCCACCAGAGGAGAAGATGATATTAATAGATATCTAAGGCTCCGTCCACAGGTGTGTGTTTACTTTATAGTCCATCAAATACTTACGTTCGCACGCAATGTCTAAACGCGTACGCGTCACGTGACTGAATATTCCCTAGGTGAACTGGGGAATACCTTAGTTTGATATTCCCCAGTTTTCAAATCTCGCGTTTTGAGAAAAATATTTGAAGCCTGATAATAAACACAATAGCCCTCATTTGCCTAAAAAAATATGCTTAGAAATTTGTCCTTGGACATTATCTGTTCCTCAAAGCTCATCGTTAGCTTCTCCTGATAGATAATGTCCGGGAACTAATATTTAAGCATATGTTCGCACCAAATGCAGGCTACTGTTTATGTAAAAGGGTATTTTTTCATGAGTTTATCAGCCTGTCCTTCACTCGCAAATGTCATAAACGGATGTGTGAAGGGCTATTTACGTAACGCTCTCCAGAGTTTACATGTAGTTTCTTCAGTCTTGTGGCACATGACGCTGACGTCATGTGAAAATCAGTTAACGCATGCTAAGATCAATGTCAGTGTCGTACTCTAGATTGTGAGTCAAAATCTGACAAGTACAGGAAAAGACCGATTACTGCGAAGAAGTTCGAGATAGAAATTGACTAATCTAGGAAAGGCTTTTGAACATTACTGACAGTAAAAACTATTCTCCAAAAAGGTCACGGGAATCCATAGAACAATGCTTGTTCAAACGTATTCGCTTGAATTTTCCAGTTTGTATTCCTTTTCAAGGCGTAAGAACGATTCCAAAGTGCAGTCGTTTTTCTCAGTCTTCTATAGCTAGGTTCTCGAAACTACTGCTCACTACTGCTCACATCATTCGAGAGCAATGCTAATTTCTGTCTCTCTAAAATGCTCAAAATACAAAAACCTTGGGGGAAAGAAACTTGATTGTTTTGTTTTGGTTTTGATTCAGTTTTTTGTCGGAATGTAGGGGTCATGATCTGACGGTATAACACGCCGTAATAATAGATTTTTCAGACTACTTCCCACAGGAAAAAACAACATACGAGACTACAGTTCAACCCCTATTGAACGGCCACCCTCGGGGAAATGGACAGTGGCCGCTTAAAAGGGGCTGGCTGGTTAATAGAGGTAAAAACAATACAAAAGCCTTCATCAGGACTTTGATTACTGGCCGCCTAATAGGAGGGACCGTTTAATAGGTGGCCGCTTAATAGGGGTTCGACTGTAGTGATTTATATTGATGCGATTTCTCTTTTATCGTCAATGAGAAGAGAAAGCCGAGTGTTTTGGTTGTGGACGATCTATTTTTGCGCATTTTCGAGAGCAACGCTATTGGAAGGGGATATGCAACGGGATATATGGTGAGTTCACTACATTGTCTTGTTGTATTTAGCCAATAAGCGTTAATTACGCAGAAAAAATTTAAGTTCAGCTGAAAAATTTGCTCAGTTGGCATAAAAAAAAACTAATATGTTGTTGATGCGATATGCGGTGATCTTACTCTCTCGAGCTCAAAGTCCAGCCGGCGCTGTCACCCAGCGCCATTAAAATTGATCCAGATCGATCCCAGAACTGTTCAACTGTATCTTCACTAACAGATATAAAATTAATCCGCTAAAATAAAACGAAATCTGGTAAAAGGTATAAGCGTTGCAATTCAGTACGAAGTCGGATTTGGAAATACAATTGCTATTCAAGCTTGAACTAAAATCACGAACGGAACAGGATAAAATCGCGTCGCGTGACGCAAACAGGTTCAACCTGTTGAACCATAATTGGCCAGCAGGAAGAACACGGAACACACTTAAACCCTCGCCAAGAATATAAAGAACTATTCACAAATTATTGCGTGGAGGAAATAGATAATAATTAGGGTTTAAACCCAAAAAAAGCTCCTGTTTCTGAACCTTAAGGTGATTCCCTAGTAAAAGAACCCGCTATAGATTTCTGATGAAACTTGGTATGCTGTTGTTACAGGACAAGGAGATATTAAAAACGTAGTAAAACGAAGGGGTCACCGTGCTTGTTTTCACGCCACAATGCTGACAGATACAGTTATTAAGGCGACTTTTGGTAATCTCCGTGCACAACAAATAAGCTCGATTATTTTCAATGTGGCATGTTATATCACACAGAGTTTGACTTTCTTTGATTGTTTATTCACCTACGTCCGAGAAAAATAGTCTTCAAATACCCTGCATTTTTTTATCCTTAAAAGAAAACATAATTTGGACATGCGCTGTTGGGCCCGTTATGTCTCCCTCTGTAGTATTTATTTCATTTGCCAAATAAGTAGCAATAGATTTCTGCTAATTTTTTTCTCAGTTTTTGAGAATATTGTTCTCATTGAAATTATGAAATGAAAAGTGGGGGTAACCGTACTCATTTAAGAGAAAAGGAGCATTTATTTCGCTATCGAGCTTAGTTTGAGGGAAATCTCTTACGCACTGATTTTAAACGTGTCTATGCCAACCCTATTTCCCATATTTCTCGCATTCCTAACATCTAACCAGCTGGGTGTAAGAGCACTATTGCCGAACACTTAGACGCTTAGTCTTCGGCAGTGCCGGGTTCTCGATTATCTCAACTCTATATAATCATGAGAACGGAATTATAAATTTCAGTTTTCATTTTCTCTTAAGAAAGGAACCTCGGCCACTGTACGTCACGGAATAATGCGAATTATATATTTCTCGATACCCACGGCAGATAAACGCGAAAGTAATGCACTGATCGTTTTCATTACACTCTCGGAGTTTTTAAACAAGAATATTGTTTTTCCGGCCGAGGCTGAATATTCTTATTTTTCTACCTATTTTAGGCTGAAACTGTCCTTGTGGATATTCTTAATTTAGATTATACTCGGCGTATGACATTTCTGTTTTCTAATGTATTTGGTGTCTGGATGGTGTTAAAGTAATTTTGGAGCCAGCCTGCAGGTATTTCAGTTAGCCTAATGTGACGCACATAACGTCTTGCAGAAATGTTATCAGCATCGCCGGGTGCAGTTTTTACTTCTCTTCGGCTAGTTTTGCCGTTTAGAAAAAGGAAGAATTTTACACTGTTTAGTTAAAAACATGAAATTGTATTGTATTTGCAAATTTTCAACGCACCCGACAAATTAGGTTCTTTTCAAATTTATTCTTAAGCATGCGTTTTGAGTCTCATTTGCAAGGGACGGGGGCAAGACTGACGATGGCGGGGTCGGGAGATAAAGGTACGGGAAGCGAGAGAGCAGGTTCTGACCCTCCTCTGCTGTTCCCCCCCAAGGGGAAAAGACAGCTAAATTTTGAATGTATATGGCTAAATAATTACAAAAGTTACACTTCAATAATACTTCAATTTATTTTAACACAACTTTAATCATCAAAACACTTGCAAAAGATATATAAATTTAGTAGCAATAGCAAAAATGTGATTAAAAAATTTGACTTACTGCAAAAGATTACAACATTGGTCTTTACAACGTTTTGAACGAAACAGCGTAAAATACTATCACAACAAAATTACCTTAGCAGACTTTCTCAAAGTCCGTTTTACACTTAATTAATTTGATACCTTCTGAAATATTTTACAACCACATCGCACGAAATTTAAGAGAGCTTTTCTTTGACCTATTATCGACATCCACAAAGTACCATTGGAACAACTACTAATCGTGAAATCAGTTTATAAACATACACCCCAGAGTTTTTATAAATATTGTATAAAAATAAACTGCGGGTGTCTCATTTGCAGCGCTAAAGACTCTTACGAAGCTTTATATTGCACTATGGGTCTAGGTTTATGCCACTCTTCACAATTACTTCTGGTTCTGACCATCTACATTTCTCTTTGACTTCACAGTATTTCCTTTTTAACTAATTCAATTAATCCTGACTACGCTTGGCTATTTAAAGCAAGTGCGACGAAACTGTTTTTACCGACTCAATTTTGGCCTTCGATATCTAGCCGTTGTAATAAATTTTCCTGCCATCCTCCAGGATAAAAATAAAAAAAAAATCTGTTAAATTACCTCATATTAAAACCACACTACATAAATATGAAATAATTTATCCAACGTTGGAGGAAGAGTTACATACGTACCCTACGTGGTATGTTCGAATTGTTGCAATTTTTGATGTTTGAGCCTATCCATATTTAGAAGGCCCCATCAACAAATTATGATAATACAACAACAGTACTGTCAACTGCAAAACACATCTAGTAGCTGCATGCATGGCGGATTCTAAAATTAGCTGACCTTTTAAAACACACAGCATACAGATTTTTCCCTTAACAGACCATTCTACAGTTCAGTGAAATCTCTGATGTAACCGAGCCTCTGTATGAAAGTGAGGGTTGGGTTGACCTCTTAATGATGGAGAAAAGAAATTGATTAGCATAATCATAAAAGCAGGATAATTTAGATTTGAAAAGTGGTAAGGATTGTATCATAGTAAAGTCAACTCTGGCCTCGCTTCTGCTCAAAGGTTTGATTACTCAGCAAGGGACTGTCAAACTGTAGCCTGTAGTTCGGATAAGGGATTTGCCCAAGTAGGTTCTCTGGCCGATTGCCTCGGACCCTTACTCATTTCAACACCTGAAACCCCCTAAATGGACTATTGTATATGTTACACTTCAACCAAAATCAGGTACCCATGTTATTACAAAAAAACCTGTGATGACCAAGTGGAGGTCAATAAGTATAAGCAAGGACGATAATGATATTCGTTCTAAGAAAGTCGTGATCATATTAGCTCTCTAAGAGTCGTCGCCAAATTCGTATGAAAGAAATTTTTAAATGGAATTACGTGATACAATGCACATGTTGAAAACTCTTCATTCTTTGGCATTCTTGTTTCTTATCAGTTCATTGCTACCTTTTTGGTGTTTTGTTACCTTGGCTTACTGTTATTTCAAGTTATGTTTCGATTTCAAGGCAATTTTAGGAATTACAAAAAATACTTATTTGTAGCAACATAGATTGTTCCTCGGTCACAAGATAATCCCTATCAACACTATCCAGCCGTTTTGAGTCTTCCTACAGCTGACACCTACAACCTTGTTGACAATTAGGGGTAGTACAGGTGACGCAAGTTTCAGTAACTTCCTCCACAGTACGGGTCTTTTGGATCTTGGTGTAACTGTGGTGTTCACATGACGGTCCAGGGCGGGGCTCCTGAATGGTGTTGAAACCTACAGCAAAAGAAACAATAGAGTATAAATTCTGAAATTTTCAAAATGTGAAATATGTGTTCAAAAAACGTTGCATGGGCTATTCCAGAAGCTTATTAGTAAGCTTCTGTCTATTCACCCAAAACAGATCATGGAAGTCTGTCAGTGCATTGCCTGTTAACAAGTCGACTTAGAATGTGTGAGAGCGAGCTCGAGCCCGTTCTTCTAGCTCGCTGTCTTACGAAACATTTTGCGATAAAATGGTGAATTTGAAATAACGCGCACTTCTGTTATCTCAATAAATATTTTACTTCACATAAGAATAATCTAAATATATTATATTGATAAATAACTGTAAAAGTTTTGTGCACCAGCTTTGAGAAAAAAAAAGGAAGGAAAAGGAAAAGAGAGGAAAAAAATTAAATGAGTAATCGTCATCCTCCTATGGTAAATCTCGTGTCAAGTTTTATCCACAGTTTGTTCTAAAACTGAAAGAAAAAAAACATTTAAGTGTCAAAAATGATAGACATAAGCTGACACTCCTGAGGTTTACCTGTGCCACGGTGGGGACCTGGTTCCTGCGTCTCTTCAAACCCTGTAGGCAGGGGACTGTCGAGAGTTTCCTCAACACCTGTGGATTCTTGGGTGTCTTCCAATAGGTCGTCCACTGGGTTAGGTACATCTGTCTCACCTCCATCGTTTGTCTTTACTTGTTGAGTCTCTGTATCATCTTGAGTCCCTTTCAGCAGGGGACTGTCGCTGGGAGTTTCCTGGACGCTGAAGGGTACCTGGGCCTCCTCTGGGTTTGGTTCATCAATTTCACCCCGAACTTGCTGCGTCTTGGTATCATCGTGAGTTCCTGTTAACAGGTGACTGTCGCGCGCTTTCTCGGCGCCGTGTAAAGGCAGTACCTGGTTGCTTTCCAAGAGGGCGTCCTCTGGGTTATCTTCATCTGTTTCATCCTCATCTCTACCGTTAACTTCGTCGTCCGTCTGAACTCGTTGCAACTCAATATCGTCATTCGTACGGACTTGCTTGCGCTTGGCTTTAAAATATTTAACAGCTGCGGGTACTGCCACCAGGATTAACAATGCGCCGACAGCAGCCACTCCAACTGCCCAATTTATCGAGGAACCTTTAGCTGGACCATTAGTTGCACCACTGGTCGAACTTTCAGACGGGTAATCGCGTTGTTTACTAGGTGTTTTCACGCCTGCTTGGGTGGGTGCTTCTGTATCGTTGTGGGTAATTGGTACTGTTGAAGGCCAGGTTGTCTGCAAAGCTAGAGCTGTTGTGCTGATGTCCGCCTTGGTGATCAGTTTGCCGCACTTCTCTGATTTCATAAACGTGCACTGTATGTTTTTTGGTACTCCAGGCACCTGGCACTCTGGCACAACTATATCATTCCCGTCATTACAGCAAGGGGAACACGGCTTGCACATGCTCAGCATGGGTTCTTCGTAAGCGCCAACCTTACACTTATCACACACGGCTTTGGAAGTCAATGTGCAGGCTTTAATGGTCTCGCGATACGGGCCGCAGTTCTCGCAATCTTTACAGGCCCCAGCCTCGTATGCTGAAGAGTATGACTCGCCAAGCACGCATGGTTTGCAAACGATGGGGGTGCTCGATGATATCACGTCTCCACAGCTCACGGAGAGCCCTTCACCGGCAGGGCATTTTCGACATTCCTGGCATTGGATTGATCCACTCACTGGATCCTTGATCGTGATGCTCTCAGCATCACACGAGGCAGCGACATCTAGCAAAATGAAACGTCGAGGATTATATTTATGATCGATAACGCGCACAAAAAATGACTTATGCATGTGAAGTGCGGGCGAAATGATGAGTACTTAGATATATAGTGTGCATAATTATAGATGAGTTCAGATTGTATCTGGCTTTTTTGTAGTTTCAATCCAACCTACGCTTGTTTTACATTATCTTTTTATAATGGTTTTTTTTAAATAAAAAGTTACATTTGTAAAAGTCTATGCCCATTTCATGTGCGTTTTCGGTGAAATTTGTGTTTGTCCATTAGGTATAAATAGAATTTTCAAAGGAAGAGAAGGTCAGTTATACTAATACAATACTTTTTTTTACAGGGTGGCCACCAGGTCAAGAGATTCGAATCGTTTGTTTGATTTCCCTCGAGAGATTTGCTGCTAAGTTATCGTACAAGATTTTGTAGAGGGCATTAATAAAGCATAGCCGGGAACTACATCAAACTCTCTCTTATTGATCCGACAAACATTCCTTACTTGTAATTGTCACTGATAAACAGATTAATACCACCAGAAGGCCTCTGTGCAGCATGATCACGTGTATGTTTCCAGCGATATGGTAACGTATCAGAACTGAAATATAAAAATATCAATTAGTGTGCACAAGTGCTATGGTCTTATCTTAATTTATAGATAAAATTCTTGGTACATGTCCCAGTTCTTGTAACTTGTTTTGTGATTTGTGAAAGTGTTTTGTCGCTATGAACCAACGGGTTAAATTGATTTGACAAGTGTATTCAAGACTTGCAAAATCCAAAATAAATGTTTGTTTTAATAACAGATTTGGAAATCAGCAGTGCGACAAACATCTTGTGCAATAGTGTTGAAAATATGACCGCGTAACATTATCTTCGGACCGCTTAGGGAACGCATCCTTTTCGCTTATCTGACGAATGTCATTGCAAACTTTGAGAAAAATTTACATTGGTAATTTGGACTTATGACTTAAAACATGTGACAATGTCAAATCGTAATTGCTTCCTTCCGCCTTGCTTCCCGCAGCTTCAGAAATACAGGTCCAAACAATTCTACGTTTTTCAATCGATCGAAGCCAGTGTTTCGATTGAGCTCTCTACAATCACAGTCAAAGTATGGGCCAGGCCAATTCGGTCTTAAAGTGGTACTATGATCAAATTTTTACCAGGAGCCATAATCGGGGACGGAGACCGTAAGCGCGCGCCATTTCTAGTATTGGGGTTGTCCCCATGATATGGGACAATAATTCTATTTTTAG